CTCAACCCATGCAATCAGGAAGTGGAGAAAGATCTAGAAACAGAGATGTACCCTCCACAGGCATCCCCCAATACACCTCCTTCCCCCAGGCCCACCTCCCAAGAGCACATTCAGTTGTGAACTCCTCTATGGACCAATCCACTGATACGTACAGTGACCCATGGCCCAAAAGTCCATTTTGGCCCATTTTGGACTTTAGGCCCCTTCCAAAAGTCCCACCCATGAGCACATAAGACTGGGAGGGGAGCATTTGAGATCTAAACCATAACACTGTTGTAACTCAGGATGTTTTTGAGATTTTTTTTCAGTGTTTTGCAAAGGACATTAGCAGCTTTTCCATCCTTATTTCCAACTTGCAGAAAAGTTATAAGAACTGCACAAAGAGTTCCCAAACACCTCTCCACCTCTCACCTGAGAACCCTTTTACATTTTTCAGTTGTCTCAGTAAAGTTTTCCATTGCAGAAGGGTCCAATCCAATTAACCGCTTCATGATGGTGCATTTAGTTTGTCTTCTTCAGCCTAAACATTTTCTCCCTTCATCGTCATCACATTAACGTTTTTAATATTACAGGACAGTTGCTGTAGAATGTCCCTTGAATCATCCTGGTGTTTCCTCAACCTTCTACTATGTGCATTTTTGGAAGAAACATAGAACCATTTATTGTGCTCTTCTCACTGTCCCCTGTGGTGGCACAGTGTAATTTGTCCCATCACTGATGATTTTTACTTTGGCTACTTGAAGAAAGTGCTATCTGCCAGGCTTCTCCACTGAAAAGTTACTCTATTTCACTTGTTTTGATGCATAATTTGATGAGGAGATGTCTTGACCCTTTGTATCTATCCTATTTCTCATCAAAATTTTTCCCATGAGTTTTAGTACTCATTAGTGGTTCTGAACTAATTATTACTATCATGGATGCCAGTGTTGATTTTCAAATTCCACTATATCTGTTGGTTAGTGTTCTCCTTATTCTCACACCTTGTTCCCCCATGTATTTGTATCTGTATGGACTTGGATTTCTATTTTAGTCATGGTATATAATTAATCGCTGCAATTATTTTGATGCTTGAATCACTGAGCTTCACCAGGGTGTGTTTTCTTAAAGCCCGCTTGTGTGTTTTGTGTTGCGCCTTACCTACTCAATGCTGCCTTCCTTCCCGGGACAGGAGTCTATTTCAGGCTCTTGTTCTTTCTGTGCCCAGCCCTGGAATGAGTCATTTCTCCAAGGAGCTCCAGTTCCCTTCCATGGACGTTCTATTTGGAAACCAAAACTCTGTTCTAGGTGCACTCATGGCTGCTGGAGTTCTAGGCTCTCGGTGGACACAGAAAATACACAGTAACTGAAAGCTCAGGGCTCACGCTGCTCCCTCAGTTCTAATCCAGCACCACGAAGTTCATCCTAGCACCTCCCTTTCCCTATTCCAGCTCCTCCCTTGGATGGTGAGAAACTTGGCTCCCTACCATCCTTGACATAATTTCTAACTCTGCCACCCATCAGTCCTCTTAGGCACTTGGCTGCTTTTCTAGTTTAGGTGCTGAGCTGCCACCTGCTGGGCCTTTGTCCTTGCACAGCATTCATGTTGTAAATGTTATTATCCACTGGACTTACCAATGGAACCAGTGTGTTCAGATGATTCAGCATGATGATTCTACCTGTCATGGGGCTCTGCTCTGGGACAGGGAAGGCCTTACTTGTCCTGCAGCAGCTGCCTCCTTCGTGGAGCTGGTGATGGTGAGAGACACAGCGGGAGAAGCTGAGTGGAGGGAGGGAAACAGCCCTGCATGCTGGGCTCCTCGTGGTCCCCAAAGCCCTGTGCTCTGCTTAGCACAAACTGCTTCACCATGGGCTGACACTTGGCTGAATTAGTCCCATCTCCTTTATCTTGCTAAGTCTGTAACTAAAAACATGTGCCTGGCCCCTCTTCCAGGAAGCCCTCCCATGTCCCACGACCCTTTTTTGCCGCTAAGGACCTTGAGCATCTGTTCCTACAGCTGCACGTCTCCCCCGTAGAAGTGAGACCTTTTGTTCTACTGCTCATTGACATAAGGTAATGAATGAGAGAGCCTTTGGGAGCTCTCCAGAGTTCAGGGCTGTGCCTCTCATCTCTGTGTCCCCAGAACCTGGTGCAGGACTGGACAGAAGAAGACACAGAGGCAATATGGATGGATAAATGGACAGTAAAGAAATAGTGGTGATGACTTTTGTCATCTTTCCTGTCCCCCTGAGCTCTGTCGTTTCTACCACTCTTTAGCTCTTAAAAGCCAGAAAGAGGTTGAGAGACACTGAAGAGGGGCCTAAAGTCAGTTGTTTTCCTTCCTCCACCCCAGGCCCTTTGCACCTGATCTGAACACAGCAAGCTGCGGCTGGAGGGGAAACTGCAGGATGCTGCTGACAGTGCAGGTGGGTGGGCTGCTAAGGCCCAGAGGGACTCCAAGAACCCCATGCTGCGGCCACTGTCCTTGAGGCAGGACTTGGAGCCAGTCTGGTACATGACAAGCACTGGCAGTAGTGTGATCTCGGCCAGCTCATCTTCTCCCGGACTCTGGTTTTTCCCTCCAGATAACAGAGCCATTGAGGCTGGCACAGGTTGCTGGTGGAGGTCGAGGTGGGAGTGCGCCAGAAGATGGAAGATGTTTCATGGGTGCCAACCCAACCCCCAAACCAAAGCCAGCCTGGGGGAGAAGTCCTTCCTGCCATTCTCCATTCTCCCACGATGCAAGGGTCACAGGGATACTTTTAAGGGTGCAGAGTGAGGCCTGGGCCTGGAGCTCCAAGGCAGAGAGCCTGCCTGGCGTACACAAGGCCTTGGGCTCAGTCCACAGCACTGCCACAAAATCCCCCGATTCTGCACTCTTCTCTTTCTGCCTGGCCCCAGTGTCTCAGGTGGCTAACAGGGAAGGGTCACAAATTCTAGGACAGCCTGGGCAACTTAGTCTCAGAAGAAAAGGGGGAAGGGACACAGCCAGTGGGAGCACCGTGAGGTCCTGGGTACAGTCCCCAGGGCCACCAAAAGAAACCCAGCTTGGCATGAGCCTCAAGGTCCGTTTGTGCAGCCTGCTTCACTGCTGGCTCCGCAGCACCATGCCCACAAGGGGCTGGTGGCTTCCCCAGAGGGGGCAGCCACTCCAGCCCTCGCCTATCGGGAACAGCCCGTTTCTACATCCGTCTCTGGGGAAAAGGAATTTGCAAAAGTCCAAATGCAACGCCGTTCTTCTCTCAGATTGTTTTTTGAAAATGACTTTCACAAAAAGATGTTTGAAAAAATTCTACCATGGAATGCATTTTCTGTTAAAGGAATGTTTTAAATATTTTTCTTGGCTTACATGTCTATCAAGTCAATATTGACAGGAACAAAAACTCTTTGGGGGTCTCAATAATTTTTAAGAGGGGAAAGAAGTCCTAAGGCCAACGCGATTGCAAACTGCAGGGCCAGGGGCTAGGTTTGTCCACACTCATTGAATGACCCAGAGGGCGCTGCTGAGCAAGGTCGCTGGCCGGGCCCGGGGGAAGTTCTCTCCCGTCTGCTGAGGCCTGGGCCGAAGATCAGATTCCTGGAGCCCGACTGAGGCCTCTCCACATCCTCCCGTCCGTCCCTCCCTTCAGGCTAATAAACTCTGCTACTTGGCTCTCAATGGCCTTTACACACTTGTTCCAATTTACAGCTCCTGCCTGGTACAGGGCTTTTGGTCACCCATGCCTTCTCATGCTTACATACACTTCTCACTCAGCTTAGAATTGCTCCCATATTCCTCTCCCCAGTGAACTCCTATTCAACCTTTAAAACCCATTTCAAAGCTGTAGCTCTGTGGAGGCTTTCCTGGCCCACAGCCAGCAGAGGACTTGCCCTTGTTCCACTCTCTGAATGTGTGGCACACAAACTGTGCATATCTGATTGCGGTTCTTTATTTGCACTTTTTGGGGGGGTGGGGGGGTGGGGGGAGCTTTGTGTCAAAGCTAAAAGCAAAACCTGCCGTTATCAATCAGCAGCAGAGGAGTGAGAGCCAGGAAAGAGGAAGGCATGGTGCTTTGAAGGCCACAGGACTGGGGAGGAGGAAGGGCTCGTCTAACACTAGGGGAAAATAAAATGGAAATCCCAACTGAGCGGTAGGAAAATGAAAGATCAGCCAGAGAACAAGATGGAAAAGGGGAAATGCTGTTTCCCGCACCCCGCCGCGCCCCCTTGTGGCCAGGGAGAGTCGTGCAGCCTGAGCCGAGGAGCACGAGGGGCAGAGTGGGCGCCGCCTGTGGGGGCTCAAGTTAGCCAGACGGAGAGAGGAAGGGAGTGACCCAGGCTACAGTGTCTCCTGATACACAGGCTCCATAGGGGAAGAGGGAGGGAACCAGACGCACAGGGCTGTGCGTACTGAGATCTGTTTTCATGGACTCATTTGATCCTGCTTCTCGGGATAGATGGTGGACACCCAGCCCCGCAGATTCCTGACCCTTCCAGACTCTGACGTGGGCTGAGCCACCTTTCGGCTTGGACCTCGCTGCCGGCGTCCCCACTGCTAATCCATCCAGGAGGGCTCTCCCTGGCGACTCCTGAGATGACGGACCTCCACTGGGCTGACTGCTGTGCCGAGCAGGGGCTTCATTTGTGCACGTGTTCATGTAACAATTGCTGAGCACTAGATGCCAGCCGAGTACTAACTGAGGACACAGACTCGGAGCCCCAGACCCGCTCCAGGAGTTCTGGGACAGAGAGAGCTTCACAACACCATTGCCACCACGACAGCGTAATCGGCAGAGTGGCTAACAGAGGAACTGGGACGAAAGCAAGGAAGACTTCCCGGAACGGGCTCAGAGGGGTCTGGAGAATCGAAAAGTTCAGGGGCATCTACACAGATGTGGTCAAGACACCAGGTTTTCCCAAACAGGGCTGGGGCTGCTCCTTTACAGCTGCTTCCCAGTCCTGGCCCCCAGGCCCAAGTGCCTGATGGCTCCGTGCCCTCGGGCCTCTCCACCCGCAGCTGGCCAGCCAGTTCCCCTGGGGAAGCCCGAGATGAGCGGCACAGCTCCAGGCCCCATTTGCACCTGCTTTCTTCAGTGACTCACAGTACCAACTGCTGCAGGTGAGGCTCTTGGGGAGTGGCAACAGAAAGGGAGTTTGGTAAGATTAGGGCCCAATGCCTGTGAAGGACTTGGGCGGAGGAAGAGATCACCTGCAACGCCGGCCTGAGGAAGCCTCAGCCGGTCTCATGTTGGCTGTGAGGGCAGGCTTAGACTGTGTAGATATTAATAGTCAGCGTGAGAATGGAACACGTACTGAGCTGTTCATACTCTGAGGCAGGATCCAGTGTTATCCCCAAGTCTGTGTCTCCAGATAAACAAATAGGCAGAGTTTCAGTGACTTACACATTAAGTGATGGAGTTGGAGTCCATCTCTGGGAATTAAAAATAAAGGAATGAAACTTTTATAGTAAATTTAGATTGTCAGAAAAAGGTGCAAAGAGCGTAGAATTGCTGTACACCCTTCTCCCGGTTTCCCTGCAAGTTAGCACCTTACATAACTAGGGTCCATGTGTCACCATGAGAAGTTAGCTCTGAACTTCAGCCACTCTGACTCTGCAGCCTTGGGCTTACTATTAACTACAGATTTGGTTTTTTTTCTACTGTGTCTTTTGATATTCCAAAATCAAACCCAAGGCACAACCTCGCCTTTGGCAACCCAGAACCTGTGACTCTTGGGTGTGAACTTCTGACCCCTCTGCCTTTCGTCCCGCTGTTCCCACAAAGGCTCTGTGGACCTCAGGTGGGCTGGCAGCCCCAGGTGTATGTGGGTGGCCCCAGAATGTGGCCTGCTGACTGGGGCACTGTGTGTGTAACCTCTGTGTCCTCTCTGCTGACATGAAGAAAGAACCTGGCAGCCCCGGCTCAGTGGTGTGGCGTTTATTAGACCCATCTGGCATCCCCTGGTCTGTTGCTGGGGGGGGGGGCGGTGTTGGATGGGACACCTAGAGCTACTTCGGGCTTGACCGTGTGAGGAGCTGTGAGCCCGTCGCCCCGCCCTGCCCATTAGCCAGACAGACTTCGCTTGAAGCAAAGAGCAGTTAAGTAGGGGCTCCCTGCCCCCACCCCCACCCCACCCAGCTGCATGGCTGCTGTGTCCGCTCTGGGCACTGAGCCCAAGGGAAACTGCCTCCTGAAACCCATGGGTCCCTGAGAAGGAAGCTACTGCAGCCTCATGGCCACACACCATAGGATGAAGAGAGAGCCCAGGCTTTACTGGTGCATCCCCAGCTTTGCCACTTACTACCTGGAAGCTCTTTTCTTCATTCCAGGCTGAGTTTTCCCCTGGAATCAGCTAGAAAGCCATCTTTCTGGTGGTCAGAGTATGGGCTGAAGCCAGATGACTTGGGCTAAATCCCAGCTCTGTCATTTACTAGCTGTGTGACCTGTGGCACGTAACTTAACCTCTCTGTGCCTCACTCTCTGCGTCCACGACACCTATGCCATAGAACTCTTATGAAGATGAAGGGAATTAATAGATGCAAAGCTCTGAACTGTGCCACACATGGATAAGCTCTCCATAATAATTACTACCTGATTCACATGGGTGTCTATGGAGAATTAAATGAGATCTTTATTGTACAGACACATTGTAAATGGCAAGGCATGCTAAAAAATGTCAGTGCAATTTTTTCAAAAGTACCTTACTATATCAGGAGACACAAGTAGTCCACAGGAAAACATTACTTGTCTGGGTCTGATTACCATGGCCAAGTACAACTGGAAAGGGGATGAGCTCATGAAGTCTACAATCCTTTATGGAGCCTTTATTGCCTGCTGCCTCTAATTTTAGGCATGTACGCTTACTAAATCCTCTCATCACAACCACATTTAGGGTGACTATTTTTATCCACATTTAATGACCAATGCTCAGCTGTTTTATCTCTGGCAACCGTTATTTATACTGAAAGCCTTCTATGCTAGCTTACTTCTGGGTGCTGGGAAGCAAGCACAATGGGCTTGCCTTCAACCACCCTGATTCTAGTGAGAAGTACAGGGCGTGTGTTACCAGAAGTGCTGGCACTGGCCGTCTGCTCTGTGCTCTCAGATCTCTCCCTGACCACTCTGGCTCCACTGTGTCACAGGGGTAACAGACCTAGAATCCTACACTGCCAGGCTTGCCTGCCAACTAGCTCTGCCTAGGTTTGTCCAGTGAAGGCTCTGGAAGGAATGAAAGAAAGGGAGAAGTCAGGGAACCCCCTGACTTTACCTGACATCTCAACCAGGGACCGTGTCTCCCCCTGGGTCTGCATCTAGCTCCCCTGGCTCGGCTTCCTCCAGCAGGCTCCCACCCCGATTCCAGCTGCCCTGTATAGCCTCCTTCTTGACCTCCCCTGCCCACTCCTCCAGCCCTCAGGTGGGGGCTTTTCCTGCTGGCCCTTCTGACAGCCCTTACTAATGCCTTCTGTTCAATTCTCCCTGTTGAATTACCTAGAGTAGGCTTTACTTTCCCATTGGAGCCTGACCAAGACTGAAAATTCGTAAGAAAATCTCAGGACTCTGGCTGTTCCCACCGCTGCTGGGGGAAGGTTCATGATCCAAAGGGAACCAGAGAAGTTGAGGAAGCTCTTTTTTTTTTTTTTTTGGTAGCAGGGATCAAACTCCAGACCTTGGTGCTTGTGAGGCAGGAGCCAGAACCACTGAGCTAAATCCCCAGCGCTACAGATGATAGTTTAAGAGAACATTTTGAGAAATTGGGCACACTCATAGATTGTGTAGTAATGAGAGAGCCCCAAATAAAATACTCCAGGGGCTTTGGTTTTGTGATTTACTCTTGCATTGAAGAGGTGGATGCAGCTATATGTGTTCAACCACACAAAGTTGATGGGCATGTAGTAGCCCATTAATTCTAGAGAGGAGTCTGTAAAGTCTAGTGCCCATCTAACACTGAAGATAATTTCTGTTGACAGTATTAAAGAAGACACAGAAGAATATAATTTGAGAGACTACTCTGAAAAGTATGGCAAGAGTGAAACCATAGAAGTTAGGGAAGACAGGCAGAGTGGGAAAAAGAGAGGATTTGCTTTTCTAACTTTTGATGATCACGACACAGTTGATAAAATTGTTGTTCAGAAATACCACACTATTAAGGGGCATAACTGTGAAGTCAAAAAGACCCTTTCTAAACAAGAGATGCAGTCTGCTGGATCATGTGGAGGTGGATCTGGCGACTTTGTGGGTTGTGGAGGAAACTCTGGAGGTGGTGGAGGGAATTTTGGCCGTGGCAGAAGAGTAGGCTATGGTGGTGCAGGAGGTGGCGGCGGAGCTAGTTATGGAGGAGGTGATGGTGGATATAATGGATTTGGAGGGGATGGGGAAACTATGGTGGTGGTCCTGGTCACAGTAGTAGAGGAGGCTATGGTGGTGGAGGGGGACATGGGAACCGGGTGGTGGACATGGTGGAGTAGGAAGAGGATATGAAGGTTACAAGGAAGGAGGAAATTTTGGTGGAGCTAACTATGGTGGAGTTGGGAAACTGTAATGATTTTGGAAATTATAGTGGACAACAGCAAAGAAATTATGGACCCATGAAGGGGGGCAGTTTTGGTGGAAGAAGCTCTGGCAGTCCCTATGTGGTGGGTATGGATCTGGTGGTGGAAGTGGATATGGAGAGCAGAAGGTTTAAAAAAGTAACAGAAAAGGGCTACAGTCCTTGGCAGGAGAGAGAGCAAGGAGTTGTTGGGAAAGTTGCAGGTTACTTTGAGACAGTCGTCCCAAATGCATCAGAGGAACTGTAAAAACCTGCCCCAGAGGGAGCGATGATGCATAGTCAGAAAAGTTACAAACAGGAAACCCTTCCAGTTCAGGACTGTCACAGCCACAGTCTGCAAAATGTGCAGCTATTGATTAACACAAGGCAGTGTCAATTAGATGCACATTCCTGACGTCTTTTATCTTTCGTAGCTTTGTCTTTTTCTTTTCATTACATCAGGTATGTTGCCCTGCAAACTGTGGTAGTGGTACCAGGAATAAAAAATTAAGGAATTTTTAACTTTTCAAAAACAATCTCAGACAATGTCCAGTGCATTGAAGGTCACAAAATGGGACTGGGGGCTTCTTCAGCTAGGATGATCAGGGGAGGGGGTCCTTCTCTGAAAAGCAAACTGGGTGGGGGATTTAGCTCAGTGGTTCTGCCACCTGCCCTGCAAGCGCAAGGACCGGAGTTCAATCCCCGGCACCAAAAAAAAAAAAACAAACTGAAAGAGAATCCGGGAGATGAGGCAGCTCTGTAAATACCTGTAAGAAGAGTGTCCCACGCACAGAGGAAGAAGAGAGCCACTGAGCTGGGAATAAACTTGGTGCACTCAAGAGGTAGGAAAAAAAGGAAATAAGATTTGTACCTCAGCAACTTTAATAACAGAGTTATTTAATATAACACATGAATCCCAAAGGGGGGGTGGTCAGAGAAAGGAGTTGTTACCGCTAATGGGAGCGGGTGGAGCAGGGACAGGCAGGAAACTTCAGGAAGTGTCACTGGGCCTAGGAGAAGAGTTTGGCTTCAGTAAGTCAGCATCATAGTTGAGGCAGAGGCTCCAGGGCTAACAGAGGGGCAGAGGCAAGACTGGAGGCCTGTTCTAGAAGCAGAGAGGAGCTTTGTGGAGGGGAAGGTGTGAGGCAGAGGGAGACAGGCCCCTTCTCCCGGGCCTGTGTCGGGACAGCGGAGAGCCCAGGCTGACTTCATGAGCATAAGAGCTTGGTCTCTGCCTTCACCAGTCTGGAAGTCTTGAGATCAAGGCGTGGCAGGATTGCTTCTTTCTAAAGGCTGCAAGGGAGAGTGTCCCTTGTCCCTCCCCAACTCCTGGTGGTTTTCTTGTATCTTCGGCATTCTTTCCCCCAAACTCTGCCTTCATCTCCACGAGAGTTCTCCTTTGTGTGTCTGTGTCCAAGTTTCTCTTTTTTAAAAGATTATGATCAGGCTGGGGATTTAGCTCAGTGACACCGAACCTGCCTTGCAAACTCAAGGTCCTGAGTTTGATCCCTGGTACTAAAAAAAAAAAAAAAAAAAGGTTATGATCATATTGAATTAGGATCACCCTGGTGACTCCGTTTGGACCATCTGTGAAGATTCTACTTCCAAATAAGATCACTTTTACAGGTCCTGGGGAACAGGATTTCAACATCTTTTTTGGAGACCATAAATAAACCCAAAGCCCTAGATCCGAGACCGGAATGAGCACTGCTCCATGCAGGCTGCAATCTCCACCTAACTTTTCTGGGAAAAGTACTAGGTTTCTTTTTCTGCAACACAGTATTTTTTTTCACCCTCTGCCTGTGACCAGCAGGTAGATTGCTGGCCACTCACCAACCTGGAACACGGAATCTTAGGGCTTCATGGCTCTTAACATTCTTCAATCAGTCTCTCCTATTGGATAGAGGGAACCCGAGCCTCAAAGGGGAAAGTGACTTCCTCCCTTGGATGGCACTGGGAAAATGCACCCTCCCTGGTGGAGTGCTGGGCCCCTGGCTTGAAATAAATGTCTAAAGGAAACAGGTGTTTCCTACAGGAAATGGGAAAAAAACTCCAAGAAAGAGGAGTGTGCTTTCCCATTGTATCTGGGAGACGCTAGCAGGGTCAGCGCTTTGCTGGGTGAGTGCTGGTCAGATGGGCCCCATGCAAGGAGTCTGCTCCATCAGATGTGCCGAATGGACGGGCAGTTCCTCCCTACTCAGAGAAGCCCGCCAAGTGTCCCAGGAGGTGAGGCAAAGTCACAGCCGAGAGAGTCAGTGCTGCGGGGTCAGATGCACCTGAGGCCTTCCTGGCTACAGAGTCAGGACCCACACAGGGACTGGCTCTCGTGACAACAGTGGAGTTCTTTGGCTCCTCTAGCCAAATGGGGGCAAGCAGGAGGCTGAGCATTGCCAGAGCTGTAGCTTCAGTGCCCGCACAGCTCCTACCTCCTCTCACGTTGATTCCAGTGACCTGTCTAACTTTCTCCTTGACGTCTGCTCCTGGCTGCTGGTAACTGCCCAGCTGACATCGTGCCAGCTTCCAGCAAAGAATAGGGTTCTTATTACAAGTCTAATGTGAAGACTCCAAACTAGCACTCCTGTAATCCCAGCATGTAGGTGTCTGAGGCAGGAGGATCACCATGAATTCAAGGCCAGCCTGGACTACATAGCAGGACTGTGTCTCCAAAAAACCAAAAAAGCCAGGCATGGTAGGGCAGGCCAGGCCTATAATCCCAGCAGTCTGAGAGGTTGAGTTCAAGTTCAAGCCCACAAGTTCAAGCCTAGCTTGGGCACCTTAACAACTTAGATGCTGTCTCAAAATAAAAAATGAAAAAGGGCTGGGGATGTTGCTCAGCGAGAAGGTCTCAAGTTCAAACTCCATTATGGCAGAGTGGGGGGGAGCTGGGTGAAAGAAAAGAAAACTCTAAACCAGAACCTTGGCTGGCTTCACTCTGGCCCGGCAGCCAGGGGCACAGGGCGCTTGGTTTGTAGTTTCCCTAACAGCCATGTGGTTAAGTAGTGGGGGAACCATTCCTCAAAAGACCGAAGAACCAGCTGGCATTGATTTTCTGGGTAGATCTGATGGTAGCAGGTCTTTGCCAGGTCAGAACTGCTTCATAGCAATGCTGTTCATGGTATAAATGTAATTGAATTCTCAGTAGTAATAATAAGGGCCAAGCCTAACATAGCACTCATTGTGTACTAGGCAATATCCTAAAGTCTTTGTTATATTAACTCATTTAGCCCCCACAACTCTTGAAGACGTGTATTATTATTATTACCCCTTTGATAGTTCATTTTATATGGCAGCTTTGTGGGCCCACAGTGTCCACCTATTTTTTGTGGGGAGGGGGTTTGAGACAAGGTCTCGCTATGCAGTTTAGGCCATGCTTCAGCTCAACCTGAAGCCAAGGCTGACCCCCAGCTCATGATACTCTGGCCTCAGCCTCCTGGTCAAACGTTATTCTGGATATTTCTGTGAAGCTGTTTTTCAGATGAGATTGACATTTTAAAAGATGAACTCCGAGTAAAGCAGATTACCCTCCACAGTGTAAGTGTGTCCCACCCAGCTAGGTGAAAGCCTGATGAGAAAGAGGATGGACCTCCCCAGCATGCAGGAATTCCACAGCAGTGTCTGGACTCGGGCTGAGACTCTTCCCTGAGTCCCGGCCCGGACTGGGGCTTACACCCCCACAGCCAGGTGAGCTAATTCCTAGTCTCTCCCCTTTTGCTTTCTCCACACACCCCACACACAATTCTATGGGTTTCGCTTCTCTAGATAACACAAAACACCCCTGTTTTACTTCTGATGAAACTGAGGCACAATCCATCAAAGTCACAGAGCTAAGTCAGATTGGCCTTTGAATCTAGGCAGTCTGACTCCAGAATCTGCCCTTAAATACTGTTACTCTGATCCAATGGCTGCTTGTGTCTCCCCTATTCCTATGGTGAACCCCCAAGCCCCAGCATGGTAGTATTTGGAGATGGGCTATTGGGAAAGTAATTAGGTTTGGATGAGGTCACGAGGGTAGAACCCACCTTGTACTAGTGCCCTTATAAGAAGAAGAGAGATCAGTGGGCTGTTCTCTTTCTGTCTGTGTCTCTGTCTTTGTCTCTGTCTGCCTTTCTCTCCCTCTCTCTGACACAACAACAAGGAATCAGCCTGTTTGGTTCAGCTCTAAAATGTCCCCCAGATTGTCATGTGTATGGAAGGTGAATGGATCAAGGGGGCACTGTACTCATTGCTGGATTAATCTACTGGTGAAACCACAGCTGAATGTGCTGTTAGGGGGTGGGGTCTGCTTGGAAGAGGCAGGTCACTAGGGGCATGACCTGGAAGGGTGCATCTCCCTCTCCCGCTCTTCCTTTGCTCTGTACTTCCGGGCTACTATGATGTGAGCAGCTCTCCTCCGCCAGACCCTTCCGCCATGTCCTGCCTGCCTTGGAGCCAGCAGACGATGAACTGAATTCTCTTAAAATCTATGAACCAAAATAAACTCTCCTCCTTTAAGTTGTCAGGTAGTTTATCCCGGTGGTGAGAAAGCGATTAGGACACTGGCCATCCATCCTCCAGGAAGACAGCCTCCACCAGGAACCCAATGGGTAGCCAACTTGATATTGGACTTCCAGACTCCAGAACCTTCTGTGGTTTAAGCATCCCCAAGTGTGGTATTTGTGAGGGAAGCCTGAGCTGAGACAGCTATTAACTCTTTCAGACACTGCTTCATTACCCATTAATACCCAGCCCAGTGCCTGGAAACAAGAAGCCATCCCATCACATATCTGTGGAATAAATAAGTAACAGGATGAGTGAGAATATCAATTTCTAAATCAAACATTTCAGCAGTGTTCAGAATTCAAACTGCTGCACATCCCTGGACATGGCTGGGTCTTCAACAATCGCTCCTAGAAGATGAAAGAAGTGTTCTGGGTCAGACTTTCTGGGACTTGGCCTTGGCACGGCTGCCTGGGGACACCTTGACATCACTGAAGAGAAGCTCCTCCTTCTGCTGTCAGTGGGCCCTGGCTTTTTGCTGCCTTCTGGGAACCCATGGAAACAGTGCTCTCAGCAAAGGTCCCAGAGCCCAGGCAGGGAGAGGAGGCATTGCATTGACCTCTGCTGAGCACAACCTTCCTTGGCTTCTGAGGAAAAAAACCTCAGCAAACTCCCTAGCTTCACTTGCACTTAGTTGACTTAAATATCATTAATTTTGGAGGTCACACAGCTGAGCAATACACTATTAGTCTCCTACCAACTTTGCTGTAGGTAACAACTGTACCACGAGAGTTATGAAGACAGTGGCTGCCTCGCCACTCTTAAGGGACTTGAAGTCTGCTTTTGCTGAAAACACTTCCCCGCGTCTGCAGGCATCTGATGAGTGACTGGAAGGGGATGAAACTCTTGGCATTTTTGTCTTCATACTGTGTCTGTCTCCACGGCCACCTTAACCTTTGCTTCGGAGTCTACTGAGCTCTGCACATAGAAGTGTTGACCATTTGATAAACGTTTTGTTCAAAACTGTAATTCAGGATCAATTTGGCCTCTCTTTCTCTTTCAAGGCTAATGACACTATTACAGACAGCTAAGCTAGTTAGAAATATTATAGGCAGTCAGACAGAGCTAGGCCCTCGAAGAAGCCAGTGCAGAAGATAAGAACTCATGTAGTGGGTGGAGGGGCATTCATTAAAGGTCAGAACTCAAAACAAAGATGAAATGACTACACCTACTTCCCCAGGTGTTATAGTTTGGGTCTGGATGTTCCCCCAAAGCCTCATGCTGACAGTCATAGGGCTTTTTCAGAGGTGGCTGAATCTAAAGTGAGTGATGCTGAGATTAATGGTGTGTGATTGGTTTGGCACTGCCCTAAACCTGGTAGTCTGGATAAGATAAAAGAAGCAGAAAGATGCTGTTAAGGTCCCTTACTGCTTTGCTACCTTCAGTCTACCATAAACTGTAACCCCTCTGCTGTGTGCCACCCTAGCCTGGGTGCCAGCCAATCATGGACTGAAGCATCTACAAACTGTGAGCTAAATAAACTTTTCCCTTTTTAATTTCGATTGTCAGGTATTTTGTCTCAGAAAGGAGAAAAGCAACTAAGAAAACAGGGATAAACAATAATGATTGATATTCTAAATAAGCATCAGTCACCTGGGTGGGGGACCAAGACTTTAACCCATCCCTTCCAGGAAAAGTCTTTGTTCTTTACATGACTTGCTTTCCCATTGGATCAATATTACCTAAGCAACTACACTTGTAATCTTATTAGTTGACCATAGTTCTATCCCACCTTATGCCCGCCTCATGATTTCACACTCACCTCATGATTTTGCTCTATAAAGCCTCCCCTGCAAGTGGAGTCCACAACAACCGACTTTCCAAGTCCCCTTCTGTCTCTCTGAGACAGAAGCTATCTTTCCCTTATTAAATATTTCCTACTTTTCATCTCCATTGTATCATTATGTATATCAATAAAATATACCAATAAATGTTTTGCTTCAAATAAAAAACAACTACCTTGATCCTTAGAATTCATCCTTCAATTTTAGAGAACACTAACTCAGTGTATCAGACATCTAACAGGTTGGGAGTTACAATACATCCCTTATATCACCTGGAGGTCCTAGATCAACACCTACCAGACACCATGACTAGAAACACCAGACCAGGAAAGGAACGAAAGAAGTACCACCTAAAAAAAAAAAAAGCTCTGCTTCTTCCCAGAAAAGACATGAAATTCTACCCTTTATGAGCCTGGCTCTCTGCTGTTATTCCTATCCTGTATCTGTAACTGTTTAACTCCCTGGAGTGAAGAAGCTGATTTGTGAGCAAAGCACCAGCTGCTTCATTCTTTGGCCACAGAAGAAAGTCCTTCTTTCCCCCCAACACTTATATCTCAAACATTGGTTTTTCCATGGGATGAGTTTCTGGACCTGGGTTTGGCCACACCTTGGGTGACTCCCTACCCATGGGAAGAGGTGGCATGTGGCATGTCCCATGCAGTGACTATGGCTGTGGTCCTGGGTTGCACTGAGAGGAGCTCTGTGGAGACTGCCAGCCATCCCTGGAGTGGGTGAATGTGAAGGCAGGTACAGTGGGCCTGAGCTCAGTGTCCTGTGTTTCTACAAGGCACCAGCTGCAGGACAGCAGGTGTAGGCAGAAGGAGCCCTGGGGAGTTGAGAAATTGCTACAATGCTGAATCTTCAGGTCCCTGGAAGGGGATTCAGGCCTCAGAGAATGGGCAGAAGGGGACCTTGTCATGCCCAGCAGGGAAGGCAGTTGTAGAGTGTTACAGAGCACTATACCCCAGTCCTTGGTTCCAGGAAGTTCGATCACATCTGCACTGCCCATTCTGACAAGCATAACCTCACTCTCTCTGCCCCCCAAATTCCTCAAGGCAGCAACTCCTCCCCAGGACCATCTCCCCTTTAAACCCTTTGTTTTCTTCTCACTGGGTGCTGACTCCCCTTTCAGACTCAGCCTGCTCACCACCGAGCAAAATAAACAGCCTCATTGCTTACACAAAGCCTGCCTGGGACTCTCTCCTCTCTGTGTCTCAAACATAGACCTTAGAGTCCTATTAAAAGGTCTCAGTCCAGAAACAAGAGTTTGAGTAATAGCCTGAAAAGTTCAGAGAAAAGAAAGCTCAGATCCAGCCCAGTATGGGCAGTGGGGAGAAGGAAGTATTATTGTAGAAAATAGTCTATTTACTTAGCTTATGAATAAGCCAGCTAGCAAATGGAAGAGCCTGTGATAGAATGGGGTAACCAGCCATACTATATAGAATATACTATTCTATATTAAGAATAGACAGTTAACTAGGACTTTGGACAAAGAATGAACTTCCTCAGGCAGGATAGAATGCAGCCCACACCCTACTAAAGGGAGGTGAAGCCACTCCCTACTAAATTCCTGAATTTCAAGGAAATTATAATGCAAATTAACCAGTTTCTTCTAAGATCCCAGTTTTCTGAAAACCCTTCTGTTGAAGAACTGGGTCCCAACTGGTCATTTAAAATCCACAGAGCACCTGTGATAGGTGACCACTAAATAAATGAGCAATTCCCATGCTCTGTTCCTCTGTAATTGGCTATAGATGGGGGTGCATGCAGCCACCATGTGAGTAGTCCCCTGCAGGAAACCCAGGAGCTATTCTTTTTTCCAATAAACTCTCCTATCCTCTTCCCTTGGTTCACAACTTCACTCCTCCATGTTTTCGCAACTACAGTTAAGTGCCCAGTGCACAAAGTATCACTATGGAATCTACAGGGACTGCTGGAAATTCAGTACCCCAGAGTTTGGGTCTATTTGGGAGCAGCAGGATTCTGTCTAAGCCCCACCCAGGGTCAGCTATGTCATTTATAAGCCTCAGTGCAAAATCAAAGTGAAGTCAAAAGCAATTATGAATTTCAAGACATGACAGTAGAGTAATAAATCCAGGGCAGGGCCCTCGAAACCATCCTTTCTACAAGAGGGACCAAGATGGCCTTTCCTCCTGATTTTGGGTATCAAGCAAGGGAAGGGCATAGAGCAAATACTTCCTAGTCACACAGATCTAGGCGCATGTACCAGTGGGTCCCCCTTCTGTCTGTTCACTTGCTGTAGATCAGTTTTCTCATCAGAATAACATAGACAATTAAAGTTCCCACCTGTAAGGAACATTTAATGACTTCTACTTCATCCCAAATCGGTCTCTGCTTTTTATTTGAGGATCCACTCTTCCCTTCCTCTTAGTGTCTAGAGTAGGAAGGGCACATGATGCTCCTCTAAGCCAATCACGGGATATCTGGCAGAGCGTAGTGATCACGTGATGCAGGCCTGTCCAATATGGTGACTCGTGGGCCCAGCCTCGGCCTCAGACTTCCTGCCACCAGGAAAGTGTGGTGCAGATTCACGCAGCCCAGAGCACCTGCGCAGAGTTTTAACTCAAAAGGTCAGCTGCAGGAACGCAGGATCTTGACGTCTTTCACATCCTGAGTCTGAGCATGAACCTAATCTAATGTTCTTTCTGGACTTTTCCTGGCAAACAAAGTTTCGTTTTGTCTGATGAAACAGTTGATGCAACAGTCCTGATTCACCTCCTTCCAGAGCAGCTGTGAGGCCGGGGTGAGAAATTCCATGTATTTAGCCCCAGTGCCTGCACACAAGCACCAGACCAAAATCAGTGATTGCCTTATGGACTTAATAAAAAGTAACCGTTATTGTTATTGTTGTCACTGTTGTTGGCTGGGTGTGGGTGTAGCCTGGTTTGCAGTCTCCCCGCAGCCCAGGCCGCCTTCCAGCTGCAGGGATCACGGGGAGCCCAAGGCGGGAGCCCCACGCCTTCCCAGTGGCTTCCCTGCGTGCCTAATGCCGTAATTGCAGCCTTCCCAGCTGTCGGCCATGGAGACAACCCAGAAAATGAGGTTGGCTCGGTAAATATTGAACCAAATTATGCAAATGAGTCACACTAGAGACTCAGCTGCAGAGACAACGTCTGATTGGTGGGCCCCGGCCCAGCTCTTCCCTCCTCTCCCCGCTTCTGCTTTGTCAACCAAAGGCAGCCACCTGGGGCCTGCCAGAGAGGCTGGGCCAACAGGGTGACTGCTGCCTGCTAATGGCGTCCAGTTAGGGGCGAGAGGTTGAAGTTTTGAGGGAAAGAGGCAAGTGAGGGGAGGCAGTGGTATTTACGCCCTCCTGCATCCTAGCCTCCCTCCAAAAGACAGTGCCTTGGTGAACACGTCACTGAGGGCACAAACCTGGCCAAGGTGAGGATTTCTGTCACTGCCCAGTTTGTGGTCCCTCAGGACATTGGGATGATGGAATTTTTCCCCCTTGGAGAAAAGCATTTCTGTGGCTCTTCCCTATTGGAAGGTCATAGTCCTGGAAACCCCTGTGGTGAATGAGGTGAACGATCCCACCTCAGAGAAACTCAGAATTCCAGAAACCAGACAGACCTGGTGGTGCACTCTGTAATCTCAGCATTCTGTGAGACTAAAGCAGGAGGATCACAAGTTTGAGCCCAGCCTAAGCAACTTAGCAAGACCCTGTCTGAAAAATAAAAACGACCAGGGACGTAGCTCAATGAGAAGGCTGTGGCTTCAATCCCCAGTACCAGGGGGGGAAAAATTTCAGAAACGGGTGAGGGAGCAGAAAAAAAGTACACACTAACGGCCTTTTGTGGAAGTGGAAGCGGGTCCCTGTGGCCATGGCAGGGGCAAACAGGAATGTGGGCACATCTGGGGAAGCTCATTTCCATGAGGGTACCTGGCCAGCACACAAGGTAGAGCCTGGGGGAGGCGGGCGGCGCAATGGCGGGGGTGGGGGGATGGGAGGAAGCAATGGCCCAGGTCTCTGGCCTGGATTCAGTCCTTCCCCGTGACGCTGCGGGCAACACTCCCCTGAAACGAGATGCCCAGGGAAACACAAAATGGGGAGGAGCCTTCTGTCAGCTTCTCAGCCAGTGTGGGCTTGGCAGTGAGGAGGACAGCAGGCATGGAGGCTGCCGGGCCCCACAAGCCCTTGACGCTCTGTGTCCTGCAGGGCGGTCCCTCAGAGTGGCAGAGCCCTGGCACGGTACATCCACACCGCCAGGGGAGCCAGAGTGGAGAGCGCAGGAGGAGAGTTTTCGGGTCCGCCCGAGTCAGGCCCAGGACTCCGCCTGTCCAGAAGCGACTGTTAGATGAAGGCTAAGCGGGTGGAAAGGCCGAGCTCCCAGGCAGCAAGTTAAGGCATTGTGTTACTTCCCCGCTTCTGCTGCAGCAAAGGACCACAAATTTAGTGGTTTACGCCGATGCAA